GATTTCTTTATGACACAGTCAATAATATCTGCCACAATTACTGGATTCAACCTATTTTCGAAAAATATTTGGGAAATAGCTCACTTTTGTTTTAAGGGTTTCTTGGCATCCAAAAATGCAGGACTCGGTCTACCGCTCAAAGATGACGAGGCTAAGATGTCTCTAGGGAAAAAGTACGACAGCAATTTTCTCGTGGCTTTGTTGTAATTTTTAAAATCGATTGTTTCGTTTTTTTTTCTTAATATCCTACTACCATTAGGGCCCACCACAACCTAAAAAAAAGAAAAAACTTGAGGCCTCGTACATTTTTTATTTCATTGAAAATATATTTGCGTCGTAATTTTCTCTGGAACGTTGGATTTCTTTATGACAGAGTCAATAATATCTGCCACAATTACTGGATTCAACCTATTTTCGAAAAATATTTGGGAAATAGCTCACTTTTGTTTTAAGGGTTTTTTGGCATCCAAAAATGCAGGACTCGGTCTACCGCTCAAAGATGACGAGGCTAAGATGTCTCTAGGGAAAAAGTACGACAGCAATTTTCTTTGTATGATCCAACACTACCTTCTTTTTTGTTTTTTATTGTTCTTTAGCGCATATCACTTGACGAACCATTTTCTCTGGAACGTTGGATTTCTTTATGACACAGTCAATAATATCTGCCACAATTACTGGATTCAACCTATTTTGGGAAATAGCTCACTCGGTCTACCGCTCAAAGATGACGAGGCTAAGATGTCTCTAGGGAAAAAATACGACAGCAATTTTCTCGTGGCTTTGTTGTAATTTTTAAAATCGATTGTTTCGTATTTTTTTCTTAATATCCTACTACCATTAGGGCCCACCACAGCCTAAAAAAAAGAAAAAACTTGAGGCCCCGTACATATTTTATTTCATTAAAAATATATTTGCGTCGTAATTTTCTCTGGAACGTTGGATTTCTTTATGACACAGTCAATAATATCTGCCACAATTACTGGATTAAACCTATTTTCGAAAAATATTTGGGAAATAGCTCACTTTTGTTTTAAGGGTTTCTTGGCATCCAAAAATGCAGGACTCGGTCTACCGCTCAAAGATGACGAGGCTAAGATGTCTCTAGGGAAAAAGTACGACATCAATTTTCTCGTGGCTTTGTTGTAATTTTTAAAATCGATTGTTTCGTATTTTTTTCTTAATATCCTACTACCATTAGGGCCCACCACAACCTAAAAAAAAGAAAAAACTTGAGGCCCCGTACATTTTTTATTTCATTGAAAATATATTTGCGTCGTAATTTATCAAAGTATTTGAAATAGAAACCCAATGGGGCTTGAGTTTTTATTTAAAAATTGTATGCTTTATTTAAATAAAATAGTTATATATAGTCAATACTAATAGAATTAGTTACAAAATGTTTGTGGTGGTTCTAGTACTAGTTATATCCTTCTCGTCGGATGTCCTCGAATGTAAAGTAAAGTTTAAAAGATCCTTATTTCATGGAGAATTTCATGGATGTTTTTTATTTTAGGGAGCATGTCCAGAATGTGCGACGTTAATAAAAGAATATTATCCAAAAATAGAAAGAGAACACATGAAATTGTCGATGGCATTGACAGAGCATAGATAAATATTAGAATCTGTGGAAAATAAGCTTAACAAAGATGTCGACGATGCAGTCAACTACATTAATAAGTTATTATTTGAATATGATACTTTTGTAGACTTGAAAATTGGATTTGGAGTGATAAACAAGAACATGGAACAGTGCCTGAGGAAAAAAATTCAGACATTTTGCCGATTAATTTGAACGATATCAGAAAATGCAGGTTAGATAATGTAAAATACGATTACCACTTTACGATTGTAAAGGAAGCAAACCATGATAAAACTAGATATCTATGCTGACTTGGACTGCGTTCGAAAAGTAAAGAGCGCCTTTGTCACGACTATTCAAACCTCCAAAGATAATTTTACCAAATGCGCTGATGCAAATAACGAGGTGATGCCTCCATTGTAAACATTTTATTAAAGATATTAAAACAAACTTACAGTATCTTTTCCTTTTATGATCTCTTCAGGAAACTGCATCTTCCTGGAAACCCCCACCTTCTTAGCCTTAATGGTGTTCTCTTTTTCTTCCAAGGAACTCGAATCCAGACTATCCTCCTCAATATCAGGCAATACGAACGTTTCTCTGGGTTTTTTTCTTTTATTTGAGTCGAGGTCTGCTTTGGTGCATCAATCAATCGATGGTAAGTCTTGATTTCATTTTCATGCGAGGTGGTAGCTCATCCATATCCTCGAAACTTTTTTGGTGAAACATTTCCTGGTTCTCCCAGATTTTTATAAGAGCGTTCTCGAAGCTCGACGTTTCCTTCTGGATGCCTTTAAATTTGTTCAACAACTTTTCTAAGATATTCTTTAAATTTACGTAGTCTTTCACTGTTTTAACTTCCCTATTTTAGTAGCTGGTATATGTAATTACGCCCTCACCAGATGATGATAGAGAGTCTGTGTCTAGTTTAGGTTTTTTGCATTCCGCCTCGTTTTTAGTACACACATCGCATTCAAAAAACAAGCGTTTTTTGGCTGATTGCTCTTTAACGGATGAGAACGAGTCCGTTGAGGTGAAGTCTTCATTGAATAGAAAACTGTCCGGGATTATTCTATAGTCGTCTATTTTGCTACTCAGGTAGTCCAAGTTTTCTGAAATGATTGAGTGTATGGTATTAAAATGTTAATCCTATAATGGCCTCCAAAATCTCCAAATCTCACACAAATTTTTTATAGGGTCGGTAAAAAAATAAGTGTATTGCTATACCTGATATATCCATAATTCTCACTGCTAAATAGTGTCCATTTTCTTGTGCAATTGTAACATATTCTCCTACAGCGGGTTGTCCCATTATTTTGGCGTTTGTTGATGGATCTACAATAAATTTGGAAATTATAAATTATACTGAAAGGTTGTTTCATATTATATGTTACCTCTGGTATAGTTTCTTTGTTTTTGACATGACAGGAACATAAGATCTAAAGCTCCTTGTATAATATCTGCATTGACTATAAAAAATTGTTTTATTTGTTAAAATATAAACTTCCCAAGGAGCACAGCTGGTTAAACTAAACAATAACCCTTTAAATTAAACATAACGTAAATTTAACGTTAATTTAACCAGTTGTGCTATTTGGGTTTGAGAAATATTAATACTTACAATCTTCAACTTTGACGTTATTGTTGCCAAACACCATATTTTCACTATTTCACTCTTTAAATATTAAATGTATATTATAACATACTTACACTATCTTTCTCTTCTAAAATTTTATTGGAAACCCTAACATTTTTAACCTTAATTTCTTTAAAAAAACTCGAATCCTGACTACGTTTCTTAATATCAGACGTTTATCTGTGTTTTAAATAACAAGACTTCGTCAGTATAGTTTAACTTTTCTAAGCGTTCTCGATTGATGAAATTGTATTTAAAAATGAATAACAATTTTCTTGGAAGAGATTTAAGCCATAAAAGACATCTTAACCAAGTTGAAATGGCTAGAGCAATTACTCTTTTACAAGTTGGTTAGGTGGTCAGAAAGCCCTATAGACAACGACAAAGAGTCCTTAAAACGAGAACCAGAACTTCTTCTCAACTGCGACATGTCCATTTTGAAGCAACTGGTAGGCATATCCACCCAGACTGTACGAAGCAAATAAATAATATTAGGAGTGATGCTGTTGGGCCTTTTTTGAAGAACAAGTGTTATGGATTGCCCAATTAAACATCCTTGGAGCATTATGAAAAGGCGCCAAAGACCAACTACCTTCATAATTCACCTATTTTGGGAAATAGCTCACTCGGTCTACCGCTCAAAGATGACGAGGCTAAGATGCTAATACGACAGCAATTTTCTCGTGGCTTTGTTGTAATTTTTAAAATCGATTGTTTCGTATTTTTTTCTTAATATCCTACTACCATTAGGGCCCACCACAACCTAAAAAAAAGAAAAAACTTGAGGCCCCGTTCATTTTTTATTTCATTGAAAATATATTTGCGTCGTAATTTATCAAAGAACAATTTATTTGAAATAGAAACCCAATGAGGCTTGAGTTTTTATTTAAAATTGTATGCTTCATTTAAATAAAATAGTTATATATAGTCAATACTAATAGAATTAGTTACAAAATGTTTGTGGTGGTTCTAGTAATAGTTATATCCTTCTCGTCGGATGTCCTCGGATGGAAAGTAAAGTTTAAACGATCCTCATTTCATGGAGAATTTCATGGATGTTTTTTATTTTAGGGAGCATGTTCAGAATGTGCGACGTTAATAAAAGAATATTATCCAAAAATAGAAAGAGAACACATGAAATTGTCGATGGCATTGACAGAGCATAGATAAATATTAGAATCTGTGGAAAATAAGCTTAACAAAGATGTCGACGATGCAGTCAACTACATTAATAGGTTATTATTTGAATATGATACTTTTGTAGACGTGAAAATTGGATTTCTAGTGATAAACAAGAACATGGAACAGTGCCTGAGGAAAAAAATTCAGACATTTTGCCGATTAATTTGAACGATATCAGAAAATGCAGGTTAGATAATGTAAAATACGATTACCACTTTACGATTGTAAAGGAAGCAAACCATGATAGAACTAGATATCAATGCTGACTTGGACTGCGTTCGAAAAGTAAAGAGCGCCTTTGTCACGACTATTCAAACCTTCAAAGATAATTTTACCAAATGCGCTGATGCAAATAACGAGGTGATGCCTCCATTGTAAACATTTTATTAAAGATATTAAAACAAACTTACCGTATCTTTTTCTTTTATGATCTCTTCAGGAAACTGCATCTTCCTGGAAACCCCCCCCTTCTTAGCCTTAATGGTGTTCTCTTTTTCTTCCAAGGAACTCGAATCCAGACTATCCTCCTCAATATCAGGCAATACGAACGTTTCTCTAGTTTTTTTTCTTTTATTTGAGTCGAGGTGTACTTTGGTGCATCAATCAATCGATGGTAAGTCTTGATTTCATTTTCATGCGAGGTGGTAGCTCATCCATATCCTCGGAACTTTTTTGGTGGAACATTTCCAGTTTCTCCCAGATTTTTATAAGAGCGTTCTCGAAGCTCGACGTTTCCTTCTGGATGTCTTTAAATTTGTTCATCAACTTGTCAAAGATATTCTTTAAATTTACGTAGTCTTTCACTGTTTTAACTTCCATATTTTAGTAGCTGATATATGTAATTACGCCCTCACCAGATGATGATAGAGAGTCTGTGTCTAGTTTAGGTTTTTTGCATTCCGCCTCGTTTTTAGAACACACATCGCATTCAAAAAACAAGCGTTTTTTGGCTGATTGCTCTTTAACGGATGAGAACGAGCCCGTTGGGGTGAAGTCTTCATTGAATAGAAAACTGTCCGGGATTATTCTATAGCCGTCTATTTTGCTACTCAGGTAGTCCAAGTTTTCTGAAATGATTGAGTGTATGGTATTAAAATGTTAATCCTATAATGGCCTCCAAAATCTCCAAATCTCACACAAATTTTTTATGGGGTCGGTAAAAAAATAAGTGTATTGCTATACCTGATATATCCATAATTCTCACTGCTAAATAGTGTCCATTTTCTTGTGCAATTGTAACATATTCTCCTACAGCGGGTTGTCCCATTATATTGGCGTTTGTTGATGGATCTACAATAAATTTGGAAATTATAAATTATACTGAAAGGTTGTTTCATATTATATGTTACCTCTGGTATAGTTTCTTTGTTTTTGACATGACAGGAACATAAGATCTAAAGCTCATTGTATAATATCTGCATTGACTATAAAAAATTGTTTTATTTGTTAAAATATAAACTTCCCAAGGTTAAACTAAACAATAACCCTTTAAATTAAACATAACGTAAATTTAACGTTAATTTAACCAGTTGTGCTATTTGGGTTTGAGAAATATTAATACTTACAATCTTCAACTTTGACGTTATTGTTGCCAATCACCATATTTTCACTATTTCACTCTTTAAATATTAAATGTATATTATAACATACTTACACTATCTTTCTCTTCAGAAATTTTATTGGAAACCCCAACATTTTTAACCTTAATTTCTTTAAAAAAACTCGAATCCTGACTAAGTTTCTTAATATCAGACGTTTATCTGTGTTTTAAATAACAAGACTTCGTCAGTATAGTTTAACTTTTCTAAGCGTTCTTGATTGATGAAATTGTATTTAAAAATGAATAACAATTTTCTTGGAAGAGATTTAAGCCATAAAAGACATCTTAACCAAGTTGAAATGGCTAGAGCAATTACTCTTTTACAAGTTGGTTAGGTGGTCAGAAAGCCCTATAGACAACGACAAAGAGTTCTTAAAACGAGAACCAGAACTTCTTCTCAACTGCGACATGTCCATTTTAAAGCAACTGGTAGGCATATCCACCCAGACTGTACGAAGCAAATAAATAATATTAGGAGTGATGCTGTTGGGCCTTTTTTGAAGAACAAGTGTTATGGATTGCCCAATTAAACATCCTTGGAGCATTATGAAAAGGCGCCAAAGACCAACTACCTTCATAATCACTTGACCATGAAGCCTACCTCAGGAGTATGAACTCCATGTATGCAACTGGTTTCCCAAAATTTAGAGGGGGCTGGTGTGTTTGTACCCAAACAGCAGACGCCAACTCCACTAGTGGTAACAGTTTTGACAAATATTTATTTGCCCTCTATCACTGAAAATGTTACTAAACACCTTCATTGAGGATATGAGGTGCAACGAAAGAAAAGCATCCACCATAGTTCTATAGTTTATAAAACTGAAATACCTACCTATGTATAAAAACTCAAAAAAATAATTTTTAGACCTTTATTAACTCGCTATATATGCAAAAACACAGTACGACCCAGAGTACATTATTCTATTTTGTATGATCCAACACTACCTTCCATTTTCGTTGGATTTCTTTATGACACAGTCAATAATATCTGCCACAATTACTGGATTCAACCTATTTTGGGAAATAGCTCACTCGGTCTACCGCTCAAAGATGACGAGGCTAGGATGTCTCTAGGGAAAAAATACGACAGCAATTTTCTCGTGGCTTTGTTGTAATTTTTAAAATCGATTGTTTCGTATTTTTTTCTTAATATCCTACTACCATTAGGGCCCACCACAACCTAAAAAAAAGAAAAAACTTGAGGCCCCGTACATTTTTTATTTCATTGAAAATATATTTGCGTCGTAATTTTCTCTGGAACGTTGGATTTCTTTATGACACATTAAATAATATCTGCCACAATTACTGGATTCAACCTATTTTCGAAAAATATTTGGGGTTACCTTGGTTACCTTTTGTAATGTTTATTTTGGCTTTATTGCCTTTAAATATTGAAGTTTTATTGATTGGTGATAGTGTATTATAAATATTTCACACAAATGAGATCGGTCACCACACCTTTATATTTGATTATAACATAGCACCAAATCAAATCAAATATGTTTATTTCCTACTTAGTTATCACAGATCCATTATAGTTTGACAATGCAAGGGTAGGTTAAGATAACATCGAGATAATTTTAACAAAATAATTTTGCAGATCCAGATGTTTGCTGCGTCCTCGAAGCCATGGCCTTTCGGATCGCCGACTGTGGTTGTCGCCCCTTGTACTGTTTCTCTATTTCAGTTTTCTCATCATTCGGCCGCTTTTTCACTTAGTGATTTTAGCGCTCTTCTGCTGTGTTTGGATCTAAATCAACAATTAAATTTTTCCGGTTTTTTATGATTAGGGGTGAAAAATTTTTTTAAGGGTGAGCCCAGGAAAAGTTCAGAAAAAACCTGGTAAAACAATTTTGTACAGTCTACGATTTCAGTTCCTCGATGCGGCATGGACAGCGGTCGCCGTAAGGTCACGGGGACTCCCGGCGCACACACATTGCGCGGTTTTGTACCACGCGGTAGTGTACCACGGTGTCGTGCGCCAATTTAGTCCCCGCGACCGTACGGTGACATATAGCACCAAATCAAATCAAATTAGTTTATTTACAATATTTACATATTCATTAGTAGCTAAAATAGATACACAATAGCGCCTTGTGTTAAAAGCGAGACCGCGCGACCACATTTGGTCGGTCGTCGCTTGGGCGCACCCTACAAATAACACCTAACATAAGTGTTGAGGCATAGAGCAACGATGTTGAGTTTATTTATGCAAGTATCCTGCCATTAATAATTGTGTTTTACTCGACTCACCATCTCGCACAGCGAATCCCGGTAGTGTTTTTGTTCTATATTTATATAAATGGAGATTAATTATTATTATGTTGTTGTTTGTATTTTATGTTTAGTTAATTAGGGAAAAACGAAGTAGAAAAAACCCTTTTAAAATTGTTATTTAATTTATTTAGCATGTAACCTATTGGTAATGTGGTTATTGATTAAAGTCGTCGCAATTCAATTGACCATGGCCTGTGCTTGCACGCAGGCCACTGTCAATTCACGGTGCAGCACCCAAGCGGCAGCCTCGCAACATCCGCACCGGCAGGGCAGGCCCCGTTGCTGGCCCGGGTGACGCGAAACACCGCACGCGCTACCCGTAGTATATTGGCAGCTTTTTGTAAATAAGTCCATGTTTAAAATGAACATTATGCACCTTTCTAAATTGCGTTATGTGGGTCGTTAAAAGATTTTTGTGTATTGTCGTTTCGTAGAATTTATTGGCTGTTTTTATTATAAATTCCTTTATAGGCTCCAGGTTTGCTAGGTCATGCATCGCCTGGATGCCAGCGTAGCTGTCGTTATTGGTAATGTGCCTTAAAGCTTTATTCTGTAATCTCTGGATAGCAGTGTAGTTGGCCTCCGACATGCCACACTGGACATCCATAAGTCAAAATGGGCCGGATGGCTGTTTTATACAAGTTTACCTTATTTTCAATGCTCAATGGGCTCGTCCTGGATATGAGAGGGTATAGGGAGCTGATGGCTCCAAATAACCTCCCTTTTAGTGAATTTACATGCCTCGTGAATGTAAGTTTGTCATCCAGCAGCACGCCCAGGTACCTTACCTCTCTTTTCGGCCGCACATCATTTCCTCCTACCACAAGTGGAGTAAAAATTTTATTATGTTCTAACTAGCAGGGCTAATTAGGTTGAATTTTACCAACCACTGGGCGAGTACAAAGATAGATATCTTTGATCTTGCTCACTTCCCAATGGTAATAAAAGTCTTGTTGTGATTTATTTTCTAACTGATTTATTATAACTAATTATCGATTTATATATGATTTTACAATTTGAAATATTTACAAATAAAAACAGTGGTTCAAAAAAGTTTAAACATTAACATGTATGATGGCTAGTAATAATTAAAAACAATAATGATTTTGTTTGAGAACTGCTGGTTGCCTCAGGTAGTGCAAATGCAGCGTAAGGGTTTTTCGTTTATTAACCTGCCACCAGATGCATACTTCGTCAATATAAATCAATAAACTTTAAACAAAATTGTATGAAATTATTTTCTTGTTTAATCAAGGATTAAACAATTATTAGTAAACTTTTTCGTGAAATTCATTTGTTCTGTTTTGTTATTATTAATTTTGATTTTCCACTTGTGGTAGTATTTCTCAAGAATATTTACGTGTATTTTTATCTGTGCGTTGTCCACGGCCGAACTAAAGGAGTGGGCATATATAGTGGTGTCATCCGCGTATACGTATACCAATGCTTACTCACACTAAAACTGCACTTTATAAAGTGCAGTTTTAGTGTGAGTAAGGATTGATATATAGCACCAAATCAAATCCAAGTTTATTTTAAAATAATATCACAGTTCAGTACAAATCGAAATTTAACATGATAGCATAGGTATTAACAACATAGTTCATTTAAGATAATGACATGGTTGATGCTGCCTCCAGGTACCATGGCCTCCCGGTTGCTGACAATGTTTGTCACTCGCTGCTAGATTCGTCTGTTTCAAATTCCTAGAGTTCGGCCGTTCGTCTCGCTTAGCCATTTAGGGGCTCTTCTTAGTGCGTGACCTGAATCGATAATTAATAATGGGATGTTTTTTTAATTAATAGTGGAAAAATTGTGTAATAGCCCAGGAAAAATCATATTTAAAAAACCTTGTAAGATATTTATTAGACAAGTTTAAAGCTTTTAAAGCTTTTACCTGTGCTACGTCAGGTAGATGGGGAGTCTTCCGTATATTAGGGTTTGCTTATAATGCACGTTATGGTGGGCTCTTAAGCTGGTTATGGCTTTGGTAAGTGGGGATATTTTGATTTTGTTGGCGTAAAAATTGTTGGCTTGGTTGTGTATAAATTCTTTTATGGGTTCAATTCCTGTTAGTTCGTGCATACCTTCGACAGAATCGTACCTGCCCGTTCCGGTGACGTGCCTAAGGGCTTTGTTCTGGAGCCGCTGGATTTGGAGGCAGGTAGTGTCGGGAATGGAGCACCAAACCGGACATCCATAGGTTAACGCGGGTCTGACTATAGTTTTATACAAGGTAATTTTATTTTCTAAGGATAGTGGGCTGTTTTTGTTTATTAGGGGGGTAGATTTTGCTGATTGCATTGTAGGCTTTGCCTTTGAGGGAGTGTACGTGTGGGCCAAAGGTATCAAAAGTGATACCCAGATATTTCACCGTTGTTTTCGGTTTTATCTATCACTAGATAACCTTGAC